CGCTCACGCAGTTATCTTCCGCAGTAAGTTTAAGAAAAATCATGTATATGTATATATGATTTAAAGGTTTCAAGCATGTATGTTTAAAAAGTATAGGTACATATGTATGTTAAGGAAACTGAGGTTGTAGCTAACAATCCTCGTTTTGAGTATTTAAGTTTTAGAACGTTGCAACAGTGCATGCAACAAATAAACGAATTTTAAACATGACAATTTAAATGATTGATTTTAAAAGGACTTTAAGATGTACTTGAATTTAAGATTTCTCACGAAATCCGTTTTAAAGTCAAATTAAATGGCCCAATTGAATTGGCTAATTTTAGAAAGGCTTTTAAAGAGTATTTGAAACAAGAGTTCAAACACAGCTCCATTTGAAAAATATTTCTAGAAGGTTTTATCTTAATTGAAATTAAGAAAACCTTTAAGAAATTCAGTGATTTATTCTTTTGAAATTATTATTACGAATTATGAAAGTATTCATTCTTATGTTTAAAAAAAAATGTTCCGCAAATTTTAAGAAATGTCAGTAAGTACAAGTTAAAAACTAAGTTACGATAGCGGCCTCATAGGAGGGTCGTCACAATCATAAACTCAAAACTCATTTTTCGTTCAATCTTAGCCTAAGTTGGTTTTGGAAGAAAAAACAAGCTTGTTCTAAAGCTTATTACAAAATCCCAAGACAAACCAGCCTTACGAAAATGAAGATCTTCATCATCATTAACATTGATCTTGACATAAGGCCTTAGAAGATGAAAAATCTCTGTGGCTGCTTCTATTCCCTCGTTCACCACACTCACAATTGATGCATCAGCAGCACAATCTATGCAATCCACTGTTTCTAAACTCTGTCACTTACTCTATCTTAAACCCAAAACAAAACCAAAAAAAAAAAAACTTGTTTTTCTCTCACCTCCAGCATGACTGTAAACAAGAGAGAGATTTCTGATAATGTCAAAAATGTCGAAAACTCCTGTTTGGAAAAATTTTGAAAATGAAAAGAGGACAGAATTATATATAATTTTAAAAATGGAGAATTATTTGATTATTAGGATATAAGCGTAATTGCGTTTTTAATTGTCACTAAATAAGTGATATGTGATAATTCTGTTACTCATTGTAATAAAAGAGAAAACTTTTTAACGGAACAAAGTTTGGTGAGAACGAATGTTACTTTTTAAAATTCAGAGATCAAAGTGTTATAAGGATCATAGTTCAGGGGAAGTTTTGAAATTAATCTTTAAAAAAAACAAGAATGACCTCAAAATGAGCAGCAACATCAATTAAATGTAGTACTAAAGCTAATCATTAACAGTCAATGCCATATTATAGGATGCAGGTTTCTAATTCATTGCCATCAACTCATCAAACAAAAAGTTTTTAAAATTTTTATATCTGTATTTTAAAATTATCAAAAATAATATCTGTATTTTTATATGTGTATTTTAAGATTATCAAATTTTTATGCTCAATTCATATATTTGCTTGGTCAGTTTTGACTGCACAAGAGACGTAAATACCCTTAAAGAAAGTGTAACTACTAGGAAAATTTCAGGTCTAATCTAGACAGTCTGGCATTTTGACCATAATTTCTTCCGGAACGAAAAGTAGTAGAATTTTCAGCTTGATTAAGGAAATATCATGTAGAAACTTTATGTACGAGATAAAATCTCCCGAAAAGGGTCAAGTTATAATACGAATATTTTTATAAAGAAAATTCGTAAATATCAGTTATGAATAGTAAAATATCAGTAAAAAGTTAGAAATTTTAGCATATATATTTTAGTTATGAAAAACTGAAATATTTGGTTTGTGACCAAATAACCAGTTAGAAAAAGAGTAGAAATATTCGAAGTAAGGAAAATAGCAAAAGTTCCTGAAACAGAATTTTTCTGAATCAGTTAAAGCAGGAAACTGCTAAAAAGAGAGTACCACAAGGGTACGTATTTTGGGCAATTCTGAATCAATTGCAATGATAGTTTCAGAAAAAGAGATTGACTAATGAGATACCCAAGAGAATTGCGTTGAACATGAGAAGTTTGACCCAGGGTGCTCGACAGTCCAGAAAAGCAGTATAGAACCTGTAATGGTTGTAGAATTATCAGTACCGGAAAGAGACTCGTTTCGAGAAACGGAAAGTTTGGTCTCAACAAGAAAAATGTGGGGAATATAGAACCATTCAAGTTACATGTTAAACTTAAGTAGAATTAGTAAAATTAAATTATGGGAATTAAAGTAATTTCTTTAATTTAATTTAAAAAGTAAAAAGGAGATATTATTGGAAATATTAATATAATATTCCAATTGTTCTAAAAAAGACCTACGGGAGACATTAGAGGCCAAATGGGTTTATTTTCCTAAATGTGGCCGAGAGAAGAGGGAAAAGAGGAAAAAGAGAGAAAATCAAGAGAAAACCAAGGAATCACCTGATTTCACTGAAATTTCTTCCGTTCAGTCCGGTAGAAACGCAACCCGAAGCATTCTAGCGGAAAATCTCAACTTTTTGAGGTAAGATTTCAGATTTTTCATGAGAAACTGCTTGCTTTTTCGTTTTGAATAGCAACTCATCTCGGAAAAAATCTGTCAAACTGAAAAATGAAACCGAGGTTTTGTCGGGGACTAGGATAGGAGTTCAACGTGTAATTATGGAAACGATTGAACAAAAATTTTTGGATTTACACTAAGAAATCCGAAAACCCTAGAAATGGAGAAAATGTGTTTTTGTTCAATTTTATGTTGGAATTTGTGTTCATGAATATGAATCTTGACTCTAGGTACTGAATCGGAATTAAAAACGAGTATTGAAAACTCAGAAAACGAGAAAAACAAGGCGTAACTCTGCCGAAATTTATTTTGAGTAATTTGAACTAAAACTGAATTTCAAGAGGAATATGGAATTGAAGTGTGAAAAGAAAGATGTTTCGATAATTGGCGATGGTTAGAAAACCGAACACATGAGAATTCACAGTTTTGGACTGAAACTGAGAATTAGGCCCATGACTGAGTAACTTGCACGGTTTTAGTGCAAATCCTTGAGATAGGAAATGGTTTGGGATTGAATACCAAACATAAGGATTGTAGACATTTATGAAGTAAATTTCAATGTAGTTATTGATCTTAGACTTTGAATCTCATGATCAAAAATTTATGCAATAGGATTGATTAACGATTGAAGTTGGAAAGCATCAAGGGAGACAAAGGACGCGTTGTTAGCGGAACTTTGGTTAGTACAATAGTTTTTTTAGGCTATATCATGAACAAGCTTACTTTTCTATGTTGCACAAAAATTGTGCATATAGTCGAATTTTGAATGTTAGATACAATGTGAATGTTAGATACTATGTTAAGTAGGTATCTACATGACTTATGTAATCGTAGAACTTTATTCTGTAAAAAGCATGTATCGATGTTAAGTCGAGATCAAACCAAGAGAAATGAAAAGTTAAACTTTAGCGAAAAGTTAATCTCATGACAAAATGCTCAATAATGCACAAATTCATAAGATTTAACTAAAATTATTGTTTCAATGAGAAAATTGATAAACGGCAAGAGACTAAACGTCCTGTTTGTACCAGCCTTCGAAGGAAAGGTTATTATAAGACTATGAAAGATATGAAACCGTGACTGAGTTGGATTTGTTAGCTACCCCACCCCTCACTGGTTATGCGCGCTATGGTACAACAGGACAGGGCCCATAAGAAGTAAAAGACATGAAAATGAAAAACAGAAACCATTCCATATAAAGGTACGATATCTATAAAGAATAATGAAAAGAATGAGAAACAGAAAATGAAAGTCGTTTAGAACGTGAAAATACGATGTGAACGACTAAAATGAGAAAGCAGAACAAAGAATGTAATGAAAGAAGAAGAACATAAGCCATACATGTTTTAGTAGCACATAATGTATTATGATATATGACATGAATGCATATATGGGTATGCATAATTACTGCATCTATTATAATCTATTGATACTTGCTGAGCGAAAACTCATTAAGTGCACCGGGTTATTTCGATTTAAATTCACGGTAATATCTTTATTTTAATCTGTAACTTTACGGAATTTTTTTGGACAGTAGTACTAATATCTCTAAATAATCAGCATTTGTGCTAATCAATCACTATCTATAAATACTTATATATATATATATATATAATCTTTATTTATTAGGATGCTCAAATATATCATGCATTCCATTTTACGGTGCTTAAAGCAAATTAAAACATCTTCACTCGGCCTACAGTTGTACGGCTTTCTGACTTTACTTTATCATAACAAAGGATAATGTAAGCAAACAGCTACTAGAGTAAGAATTAGAAATTACAAGTTACTTTGTCTTCCTAGAGATTTTTTCAATTGGGGAGAGGTCATAAGCGATGGGAATCAAGTGCAAATCATCTTTTCTTCTAACTGAAATGCCGAAAGATTCAGTCATGTCCAAGTCTTCACGTTTCATTCCATTCGGGAGTTTCCAATCAAAATGGTAAAGAAACATTGCAAGAGGGAGCTCAACATTGATCAAACCGAACGACATGCCCGGACATATTCTCCTCCCAGCCCCAAATGGGATATACTCAAAATTTGCTCCTTTGAAGTCAATAGGACTATCAAGAAACCTCTCTGATATAAAACTCTCGGCTTCGGTCCAATACTTAGGATCTCTTTCTATTGCCCATGCATTAACTATGACCCGGGTTTTCACTGGTATTTCATAACCAGAAATCTCACACTTCTCTCTACATTCTCTTGGAACTAACAAAGGAGCAGCAGGGTGTAATCTCAAAACCTCTTTGACAATACATTTTAAATATGTCATCTCACTAATGCACGTTTCATCAACTGACTCTTTTGTACTAAAGACTTGTCTCACCTCATTCTGAGCATTTTTCATCACTCTTGGATTCTTTAGCAATTCGACCATTGCCCAATCTACAGTTGTAGCAGACGTCTCAGTCCCGGCAGCAAATATATCCTGAAAGTTAGTTGAGCATTGTTAAGTAATTGCAAGTGAGTATACAGTTTATAATTGCATACAATTTTTACCCAAAAATCAGGTGAACCACAGTTAAAGCCCTTTTTTACCCATATTTTTCAATGGTCAGCGCTGAACCACAGTTGAAGCCCCTTCTTTTTTTTTTTTTTTTTCTAGGCTGAAATTTTGTAATTTTCCAAGCTTAAGCAAGTCATGTATTTGAGATATTAAGTGTAAATTGGAGCGATATGCTTGCAAAAATTGAATATGCTTACCCAAATAACTGCTTTCATATTGTTTGTTGTAAGGGAGAATCCGTGGTCGGCAATATTGTTATGATATTTCAAAAGAACATCAACCAGATCTTCTTGATCCGTTTGAATTTCACCACTTCTTTCCGCTGGCTTCTTGTCCTTGTGTTCCTTGATTATGCTTTCCAATATCCTCTCACCCCTCCGTTTGATCGACTCGAGTTTAGCCCTACTTCCGGTGATCGTAGCAAGAAAACTAAAAGAAGGAAACAAATCGATAATTTTAAAACCTCCTGATTCCTTTATAGCTTCCTCCACTATCGATATGAACACATCATGATCTTCACTTTTTCGGCCAAAGGCTGCTCGCGATGTTATGCTATACGACGAATATTTAATCTTCTCAGTGAAATTTATAGCTGATCCAGTATTTGAAGCAATCCATTCCATGAGATTAAAAATCTCTTCTTCTCTAATGGGTCTGAATGATTCAACTCTTTTTGTGCTCAAGAGCTCCTGCATACAAATTTTTCGCAGCTGTCTCCAATACTCACCATATGGAGCAAAGGCGACGTCTGTACAATCATACAACACGATCTCTGCGTATAGACTCCGGGGCCTAGATGCAAAGATGACATCATGGGTTCTCATCACTTCCTTGGCAAACTCTGCTGATGAAACTACTATGGTCGGCACTTGTCCAAGTCTTAGGTAAATGAAGGGTCCATGTTTCTTGGCCAAGTCTCTAAGCGCGCGATGTGGTAAAGAGCCGAAAAGCTGGTGGATATTTCCTAGTAAGGGTAATTTCCATGGTCCTGGCGGTAGTTTTGAATCTGAGCTGATGGTTTTGGCTCTTTTGATAAGTATGTTCAGCACCATAAAAACGAAGACGAAGAAGGTGAAAAGGATCGAGAAAGAGGGTAGATTGAGCTCCATGAAGAATGTGCAAATGAACTTGCTTGAAGTTGTAATGGCTTACATTCTGAAATTGTGATTCTTTTTGCTTTATGGTAGAATACTTGGTGTCAATTCTGTGGAGATAAGTATTGTGTGAAGATAATTTTCATTAAGGAATTCCAATGAGTTTTCTCTTCTTTACTTGGCACAAGATTCTCCAATCATTGACAAAGGAGGAGGTTGCGGTCCGAATAAGCTATTGAAGAAGCAACTGCCAAGTGGAATGCCTAAAAAGTAACAGCTCCTCATTCAAACTTTTAATCACAAAAAGCCTAAAATGTCAAGGTCATTGTTAGAAAACTTTAGAAGAACATCTACCAGATCTTCTGTGACTGTTTCACTTTCACCACTTTTTGCTGTTGGCGTCTTCTCCTTATCTTCCTTATTTTTCTTTAATGATTTACAATTATGCCATTCTTATCTGTAAATAGTTTTTAACTCCATTGACATAATTTATATGGTCCAGATGGACACGTTGGCTCGCTTGTAATACATTTTTATTTGTTCTCAAGATGTGCATTTAAATAATAATAATAATAATAATAATAATAATAATAATAGTAATAATAACAATAATAGTAATAATAACAATAACAGTAATAATAACTTGGTGAATGTTCATTCATGATGCATCATTCAATTCTATATTAAAATGTGGTTACATCTCTGAAACATCTTCAATTTTTCAGGATCTTTTTCCTAATAAAAAATTTGCCACGTTTAGGAGTTGAGTTGTGTTCTAATTTTTAGAATCGTTTTGCTACCAAACCTATGATTGTGTTTTGTATTTTTTTAAGTCAAAGTTTGCTATGCACAAGTAAATCAATATTCTTAAACATAATACTTTCTCTTTTCTTTTTTTTTTTTATTTTTGAATGAAGTCTGTGTATCATAGTTATTATGTACAGAATACGTGACTACTTCTTTTTAAAAAAAAAAATTGAAACATTCAAGAGTAAAATTTTACGGTTTATGTGATAGAATTAACAATAATAAGTTATGGTAATGATGACAACTCGTGTTTCATAAATTAGGGGCTAATTGTTATTACGTAATGAACTTGAAAATTTTGGTCTGTAGCCGAGTCTAAATGGTAAGGATTTGGAGCCCCGAAAAAATAAAGAATACAGGACTTGGAAAGCTTGTAAACGACATAACCGTTAGAGGGTTCTTCATGTCCCTGCCAAAGAAAAGTCGTTTTCACTGTGGGAAATTGACAACATAATTTTGCCTATATTATAACTTCATCAATGGGAAGCAGGGGAAAACAGAGCAAAACAAGACAAGACAGGTAAAACAAAAACAGGGTAAAACAGGACAAAACAGAGTTAAAATAGGCAAAACAGAGTAAACAGAGCAATAGCACTATTTATATATGAACTTTTGGTATTGAACAATTATTATGAAAAACATATGTGACAAAGTAGTACATAGATATGAAGAGTATTCAAAGCAAAATTGCATACATGACGTATGGTCTAATTATTAAAACCCTTCCTTTATTGTAAAACTAAAAGCATAAGATAAGTATATAAAGAAAAAAGTTCAATATCATCTTCCTTATTGACCTCAAATATTTGGTGAAAGGTAAGGAGTGGGAATCAGGTAGAGTTCTTTCTTTCTCCTAACTGTGACTCCAAAACTCTCAGTCATGTCTAGATCTCCTCGCTCCGATTCCTCGGGAAGTTTCCAATCAAAATGATACAACAATTGTGTAAGTGGAAGCTCAACATGTGGTGTGGCAAATGTGATGCCAGAGCACATCCTCCTTCCAGCTCTGAAGGGTAATCAACTTGGTTATTTAGGAATCTCTCGGGGTAAAATCTTTCTGGCTCAGTCCAATACATGGGATCTCGTCCAATTTCCCATGCATTGACAAGGACTCTGGTTTTGGATGGTATTTGGTAGCCAAAAATCCGGCAGCTTTCGGTACATTCTCTTGGAAGCAACAAGGGAACAGGAGGATGTAGTCTAAGAGTCTCTTTGATCACAACTTTTAAGCATTTCAGCTCTTGAAGACCGGTTTCGTTGACATTACCTTTTCTCCCGAATACTTGTCTCACCTCTTCCTGTGCCCATTTCATCAATCTAGGCTCTCTCAGCATTTTCGGATATTGCCCACTCTACATTTGTGGATGAAGTCTCACTCCTGGCACTGAAAATGTCCTGAAAAGTGTTCACTAACATGAGTAAAACTACTTCATAAGAACGTTTCTTACATAACTAAGAAGAGGTTTTTGGGCTTATAATAATCTGCTTCAAAGTAAAACTACTTCATTGATGTGCTAAAATTTTCGTTTTAAGCAGAAAGTAACGTACTAACCACCATTTTTAATCTGTCAAAGGAAATTCAAGATCACCATTCTGCTGAAGATTCAAAAGGACATCAACTAGATCATTTAGTCTGTCTTTTTCTGCAGTCTTTTGTGTTTTCTCATGCGCTTTGTGTTCGTCCACAATGCTTTCGAGTACCCTGTCGATTCTTTTGTGGATCTCCTCAAGTTTAGGCCTCATCCCACTAGTAACTTGAAGCGGTTTAACAGAAGGAAACACATCCGAAACGTCGAATCCTCCCGTTGCCTCTATACCTTCCTTCACAACCGTTGTTAGAGTTTGTTGGTCCTGGCATTTCCCACCAAAGGCGGCCCCTGCAGTGATTCCATATGTCAAGGAAAATATTTTCTCACTAAGGTTGATAACCGATCCTACGCTCAAGTAAATATAACTAATTAAATTTTATACCTCCTCTTCTCTAATTGATCGAAAAGATGCCGCCGTTTTGAGTTCAACAACTCCAATGCGCATATTTTCTGCATTTGTCTCCTGTAATCTCCATATGGTGCAAAAGCAATGCCTGCAGAACCATAAGATATGATGTTCGGGGCGAAGAGATAAGGCCTGTGAGCAAATATAGTGTCATTTGTTTTCATAACTTCTTTTGTGGCCTCTGGTGTTGAGAGAACAATCGTCGAAACTTCACTGAGTTGAAGGTGCATTATAGGCCCATGAATGTTGGCCAAGTCTCTTGGGCGATGATGAGGCAAAGAACCTAAATTCGGTGCATGTTACCAATTATAGGTAGCTTCCATGGGCCAGGTGGTGGTTTTGCAGTCGAAAGACCGTCAGTTTTGCGCACATTTCTCAGCTTTGAAACGGCGAAGACAAAGATGAAAAACGAGAAGAGGACGGAGAATGAAGGGAATTGTAGGTCCATAGAATGACAGAATGTAGAGAAGAGAGTACTTTCGGTTTTGCAAGTAAGTTTTCTGGTGAATCTGTGCTTGAAAACAGGTTCAATATTCTTTACCATAGCTTATTCCAGATTCTTTTTTTGGCTTTTAGTTCTGTTTTCTAGCGGCATAGCACATTTGGTAAGTTTAATAAAGTCAAAAATTCCAAAGTCTAGCCAAGGGCAAATGAGAAGTAACTTGAAAAGTTTGACATCTTTAGATTAAGCTATGGCTCAACTTCTAGTGGTAGTTCCTACTGAATTCTCTTTTAAATATTCACTCTGAAGATTTTTTGCCTTTAGGGTCAATTTTTTGGATTGAAAAGAGAAACCCGAATGAAAAATAAATACATAAATAAATTTGAAAAAAAAAAAACTATATTTTCAAGGAGTTTTAAAAGAATTATTCTCCTTTTTTGCTTAAATTTCTCGAGTTTCTTGATCATGGAACATGAAATCATAGAGGAACTCTATTCTGTTTATAGAAACCTTGACTGATTATTCCTTCTCTATAAATTGAACATAGAAGGGTGGATACAGATTATCTGGTCCTCAATCTATAGGAAGCAGAATGTTTAATGCATTTGGATTTTCTTCTGTAGAAATTTTTCACTCATGTTTTACATGATCAAGTATTTCTGGGCCTTTTTTTTTTTTTTTCCCCTGTGAGAAATTTCTCTCTTTCATAATAACCACTTCAGTTAAAACCTACCAAATCTTGTCCATGTTTTACTTGCCTGAACAGCCTTGCAATAACTCATATACATGTGGCTCACCAAAAGGTAAAAACAGTTTTGATCAATTGAATTCCTCTGCTGAAACTTTTGACCCCTTCGATAATTTTGTGAAAGTAACAAATTTTTACGCACCATCTATCTCTTGAAATGCATTGTACGAGGAAAGGAATATTCTTTTACCTCTTTTTCCTCCTTTCCCAGCTCAATAGTGGGAATTCAACACCTTTTTTGCCGCATTTTTTGACTTTTCAACTGAAGCAAAAAGGAACTAATACTCCCAATTTTTTTAGGTTAATGTACCAGTGATATGATTAATATCATATTAAATTAAAAAGTAGAGAATTCCTAGTATTTTTTTTTTTTTTTTAGTACTGCTAGATAGAAACTCGCTTTTTGAAATCATAGCGTAAAAAATCTAAACTTTGAATCATTTCCTCGCCTGCATTATTTTCAAAGTTTGACTCAAAAGCACTTTTTCCCGGATTGGATGCATATATGATCGCACCCTAATCCCTATCAATATAATGCGTATTTTTAAACAGTCAGATTATTATCATTATCAAATTTCACTTAAAAGGGACAAAGGACAAAGATTCACTGATATAATTTGTCTTCTACAGTGCCAATGTACAATATCATACACGCATTGGACAAAAGGACAAAGCTTAACTAACTTGTTCATTCCAACAGATACCAACAACTGCATTGTCTCAGCCATGACCCTCAAGAATAAGTAACATTGTAAGTGAAAGAACATAAAGACCAACAAAAATAGCCATATAAATCATAAGATACTTTCATATTTCTATATATATAATACATAACAATGTCTTCTTAAATTGATACAAAAACACCAACCTAACATGACAAAGCAGCCACCTAGCAGCACAAATTGTCTTGTGCTTTCCCACCATCTAAACTTCCAGTTCTTGTCTTCTTTATCTTGGGTTTGCCAATAGGAGAACCTCGGTTCTCACTTAAACAACAAACACAAAGTTAAAACATAACCAATCTAATCATAACAACACCCAAAAAAAAAAAAAAAAAAAAAAGGTGTTCAATCATTCTAAATAACATAGTCAGACCACTCAGAAATATAAGAAGTATGATCCATAGTTAGGCTAGGAATCTTGTCAAGCTTAATGGGATTCTCCTTCCCTCCCACAAGCTTAGCAGGATTCCCAACAGCAGTAGTCCTTGGTGGGACCTCCTTTAGCACAACAGAGCCAGCACCAATTTTAGCTCCTTCACCAATCCTAATATTCCCCAGTATACAAGTCCCTGCCCCAATCAAAACCCCGTCGCCGATTTTCGGATGCCGGTCGCCGCAGGCCTTCCCGGTCCCGCCCAATGTCACATTGTGCAAAATCGACACATTGTCTCCAATCACCGCGGTCTCCCCGACCACCACTCCGGTCGCGTGATCGAGCAGAATTCCCCGCCCGATCCTCGCGCCGGGGTGGATATCCACCCCGAAAGCCTCCGAAACTCGGTTCTGAATCAACAGGGCAAGAACTTTCCTTCCCTGTGACCACAATTTGTGGGCCACCCTATGAGCTTGGCAGGCCAAGAAGCCCTTGAAATTCAAGAAACAGTGGACATAGCTTATACAGGCAGGATCTCTTTCCTTAACTGCTTTCAGATCGTGTGTTACAGATTTCATAATCTCTTCATCTTCCGACAAAACTCCGATGAAGATGTCGAAGAGAGTGTTTGTCTGAAGACTGTGGTTGCTCAGCTTCACAGACAGATGATTCGCCAGAGCGCTCTCCAGAGAATTGTACGACAGAATCGAATTGAAATAGTAGGCCGACAGGATCGGCTCCTCGTCGATGTCGGAGCGGGCTTCGCTCTTCATTATCATCCACAGATCGAGCTCACTTTCTCGATCACCGTCGCCATAATCGTCGTCGAAATCTTCGATTTCGTTGTCGTCGTCGCAGACGAAATCGACGGCTCTGCGGGTGTGAATCGTGGCGGTGCGGTTCTGGCAGACGGTGGCGGAGGCGGCGCAAGGGACGCGGTCGGAGAACCGCCGGCGGCAGATTTTGAGGAACTTGAGCTGGGCGGCGTCGTCGGCGGTTTGGAGCCTGTTTGGATCGCGAGAAAGTGGGTGAGGGGGTTGGGGGCCGGCGGCGGTTCGGGAGACGTCGATGCAAGTAGCCATGGAGGAGTATTGGTGGATGTGGTGGTGTTTGGGAAGTGAGAAAATGGGAGAAAAAGTTGGGGGATTTGTGTGGAGCGAGATGACTTGGGTTGGGGTTTGGGGAAACGGGGATTTCTTGATCTTATATAGAGGAGGGGTTATTATGGTGAGGATTTTCATGGGAAAATGAGAGAACTGAAAAAATAAATAAATAATAATAATAATGCAATATTTGTGTCACAGAGAGAGAGAGAGAGAGAAGGGGGGGCTTGAATGAAAGGAGAAGAAGATCCTTTGTTATATAGGAATATATGATTTATGGAAGAATATATATCACTATGTGTTATAAAATTGAATAAAAAAGTAAAGAAAAAACTCTCGTAGAAACAACAATATTTTAACTTAGAAAGGGTTTTATATTTAATTTGCAATGATAGGAAAGAAGATCCTTTAAGAAACATATAAATCAAAGAGGATTTTGTGGCAAGTATGAACAAATAAGTTGTGAAAACGTCTCTAATGGAGAATCAAATTATTATGTTGTGGTAAAATTACTTTCCAATATGATGTTATATTTTATTTTACTTTTTAGTCATATAATAAAGCTTTTCGCTATTTTTTTTATCAACACAAAAAGAAAGCATATTATTACTATAAGTGATGGAATCACATAATCAAATAAGAATGAAAGAGAAATTAGATTAAAATATTTATTATCAAAATTGAGCCTACATAAAACAAAACAAAAATAATGTGATAATATCATAAATAGTTTTACACGTATAATTTATGTGACAAAAACATTAGATCAACAGAATCATATTAAAAGAGAACAATATAAAAATTTATTATATTTGAGGTCACTAGAATTTTTTAATTACCCTGATAACTAGTTATGAAATATCTATGTAAGAAGACAACTCGTTTAATTAAGCATTCACAGGAATATTTTAGATTAATTGTTCCTAGCCTAATCTCAATTTACTAAAAGAAATCACGTGTTTGATCTTAAAAAGAAAACTCATTAATCCCCTGAAAAAATTGAATTTTTGAATTTTTGTATAAAACTTGTCGAAAATTTTTGTTTTGCCAATTTAATAAATACAATTACAACTGTGCCCCTAGTAATGGAGCCAAAACAAATAATAATAATAAGAAAGGTATTATGAAAAATTGGAAATGTTTTACATAAGAAATAAGCTAGAGCATGGTTATAGTTTTCCCTGGAATAGGGCAAAACTTAAATTTTAAAATTATTTAAGCATAAAATTCAATTTTTTAAGAATTAAGTAAGGACACGTGCTCCGTTAATACCCTAAATAATAGAAAATTATAACTACGACCATAAATTCAATAATAAATACCACATGTTTTCACATGTTTCCGTTCTAATTACTATAAATGGCAATGCACATTTAGTGATACTACAATGATTTTAGTAAATTGCTTGAGAAATGTGTTGATTGCCCATTAATCAATCTTCAATAACATTAAACACTCAAAATTAGAACCTATTAACCACATCATACAAAAAGGATAAACATAGAAATAAAAGTTGCTCCCTACGGAAGAAGAAGAAGAAGAAGAAGGAGAAGGTGAAGAAGAAAAACCAAGTTGCTTCATAAGTTTTTACATCGTATGGAGCATTATTTAGGATTCCTTTGTTTCATGTGTTTAAATCTATAATTCAGATTTTATTACAGTGTTTTTCTCTTATAAAAAATTTAAATTTCAAATGTTAAAATTAAAAATTATTAGTTTAAAGGTATGAAATAAACGAGTCCTTAATTTTTTTTTCAAAATAATTGAGTTTAATATCAACTAAATCTGAAGCTACGAATTCAGCAAAACTTTGTTAGTGCACAGAAATAGACATTATATACAAGATTTCACATGAATGTTCATATTTGGTATTTCTTTGTTATGAGTTCATTGATGAGAACATTATTTTTTGCACTTCTAAAATTTAATTAATATCGAATTAAAGACAAATGTAGGAGATATTCTTTTAATATTACTTTTTTTTCTTTATTAATTTCTGTAATTTAATTAATTTGTTATTAGTAGGCTTTTTGTCTTTTCCTGTTTTTGTGGTGGAGGCGGCCTTACATTCAACTTTTCAAGTAGCAACCTGCAACACGGTGTAACCTTAAATTATCTCTTTTTATTGAAGTTGTATTATATGATTAATTTATGGGTTATTTTATTCTCACACAAAAAAAAAAAAAAAAAAAAAAAGTTAGAGGTTATTAAATGGTGAAAATTGAAAAAGAAGAAAAAAGTCACATGCTTGTTACGTAATGGGTTACACAAACGATGTCAATTAATTAATTGGGAACATACCCCCGTGGAAGAGAAGCATGTCCGGAAGCCACCTTTGGTCAAACTCTTCTCTCTTCTTGTCGTTTTTTCGGACTTCAGTTATCCTAATCCAAATTGCATTCCCAACTTCTCTCGCTTTTTAATGGGTCACTCATTACGTCACGTATCCTACCATCGTTGATCAATTTTTATGGCCGCACTATTAAGGCGATAATATAGGTCACGACACGACTCAAAATGACACGAATTTTACGGGTTAGGATTGAAAAAAAAGATGTTCGGATCATAATTGGATAGACTTAAAATTAACACGAAAAATACAGGTCAATTTCGAGTTGGACCTGCCTAACCCGAACACAACACGAAACTCATAAAAAACTAAAAAATACATATATTTTTCATTTCATATTTTAAATTTTATTATGAACTTGTGATATCATGATAGTTATACTCAAAATCTTATACTATTATTTACTTAATTTCAATGGATGTTATTGTAATTTAGTGTGTTATGAATTTTAAGTTATTTTTAATATGTAAAAAACTAAATAAAAGTATATAATTTTCGTGTCAATTTCGGATTCACGGGTCAATTTCGTGTCACGGGTCATTTTCGGGTCGTGTCGTGTCAACTCGTAAAATGGTCGTGTCGTGTTCGTGTTGCGGTTTTTAAAAAATTTCGTGTCACAGATCGTGTTCGGGTTGACTGTAAATTTAAAAAAAAATGATCAAAATACGACACGAACACAACACGTGACACAAATTATCACCCTTACGTACCATGCCATTCAAACGACTGTCGTTGAACCACCTGCGCTGGTGGTGTAGTTACGAAGAACGACCTATCATTTAACACTCAGACTCTCATTATCTATAATGATGCTAAAATTATGTATCTCATCCATTTACTGAATACGATTCTGACCAAGGTAATTTTAAGTAAGGATGACCTATTATGATTCTCATCTAGCACGTATGTTCTGTTTAGGACAGCTTCTTAAAAGTTATTGACTTTTTGACTCTAAAAGTTATGTTTAGATGAGAAAAAAGTGTTTCACTTTTTCAAAAGAATTTCTAGTCAAAACAATAAAACACGACTTCTAAAAAAAATATTTTTAAATAGACTTTAAAATTTATACACGAGTTTTATTAGGATATTGTCAATTTCATTCCAACACTTTTATTGCTTATTAGAAAATTTAAAAATTGTTTCAACTAATTAAGCTCTTTTATTCTAAACACTTGTGGAAAAATTGTAGCTTTTACTTCTCTTCTTCTTTTTTCTGCAGACTAAGAATATGTTTGGTAGGAAAGAAAAGTAGAAGGAAGGAAGAAGGTGGAGAGATTTTGGGAGGAAAAATAGAAATGTAGGTTGTTTAGTAGGAGAGAAAAGATAAAGGAAAACAAAATAGAGTGAAAAATAATACATGTGGACCCCACCAAAAATGGAATGGAAAATGGGAACAATTCATTAAAATGAGTAAAGTTACTAAACTACCATTTTCTCCATCAACATCCAAGCAAAAAATTTAAGGGTATAAAAGTAATTTACGAGTAAAATTTTTTCTTTCCTCCCAATTTAACTTTCAATACCAAACAAGTGAAGGTAAGCTCATTTTCTTTCCATCTTCTCGTACCAAACAACATAAAAAAAAATCAATTTTCTTTCCATCACTTCCATATTTTCTTTCCATCCTATTTTCTTTTCTTCCTATCAAACATAGCATAAAAGTAAAAGTAAAAGTAAACAGGCCTTTAGAGATCGATTTCACATTGTCTGCACAGTAGGCTTGACTGAGGTGATTTTGGACACAATAAATGTGAGGAGATAAAAGCATTGTCAAATTTATTTCGTTTCACATGTGTTCTCATTAAATTGTTACGATGATTGTTATTTAACTACGTGAGTTCTATTTAAAAAAAAAAAAAAACAAACAAAAAACAAGAGGTCACCGCTGATTTTTTTTTTCTTTAGTTAAAAAATAAAACGACTGTCATTAGACATGATTGTATTTATATCATGAAGAGAAAATTATGAAAACCTTATCCGAGTGAAATGCTATTTTCAATTTAGTATTATTACCAAATTGAAAATTATCTTTTTAGATTTCCAATCTCATTAAAAATCTCTCTTTTAACATTTTCTTTATTGACTTATTAGTGATTTGAAATTAAACAAAACTTTAAATTTTTTGCATACCAATACGTTTTGGCACTACTAACTTTAGCTTTATTTGACGACAGCACACACGTCTAATTTTAAACCAATTTAACAAATTAATAATAATGGTAAAATTTTTTAAAAGAATCAGCAATTAAAAAATATTTTTATAATTATCACTAAAAATATACAGATGAGTTTGACTTAATTATGTGGAAAACCAAAGCTTTTGACGGTACAATGATCAGAAATCTTGTACCTATTGGCATTGGAATCCATCAACCAACTAAAACCAATGCTTTTTGATTGGAAACTTGGGTCGTTTGTTCTGTTTTTTTTTTTTTTTTCCTCTCTTTTTTTCCCCTTTTTTTAGTGAAGGCTTGTTTGTAGCTTTGGATAGGACATTTGTGGATTGCAAATTGCAATGCAGTTTCTATTTTAACTTATTCGGCGCATTTAAAATTTATTTTAAAATAATTTTGTTTTTTTATATGTAAATAAAAATAAAAACGTTTTTAATTTCAGACATAAATTATTTTTAAAAATGTGTTTAATAGTTTTAGTAAGAAATTATTTTCAGTATAAAAAAATCTATTAATGTCTCTCTCTATGCTCGAGAGAAGAGAAAACGAAAACAAAAAATGAAAAATGACTAAAAATCATTTACTATTTCTCTTTTATTTTACATTAAACTAAAAAATCATTTTTATTTTTATTTTTTATCTTTATTTCGCCAAAAGTCATTTTAGAAATATTTTTATATCTTCTTTCTCGAAAAACATGAAAAATAAAAACGGGAT